CGAGGAAGCGGGGAAGGAGAAGGAGAAAGAAGAGAGGAGACCCAGAAACTGGAGGAAAGCGGATTCAGAGAGAAAGGAAAGGGGGAGAAAACACAGTTGGAGAGAAAGGGCCAGAGGGGTCTGGGGTGGGAGTGGCGGTGCGGAGCCTCCCGCCCGGGTCAGGCTGGGTCCTCCAGAGGCCTCTGCGGAGCCATGGCTAATGGTATGATTGCTCGGTGGGGCGGCAGGCGGCAGGTGACAAATGAACTGCCGGGAGTCGCGGGCTGGAGTGATGGATGGGCCTGGCGGCCAGAGGGGGAGGGTGTGGGCGTGGGGCCTCCAAGATAAATGTTTCCATCCCCTGGAGCCAGCCCAGGCAGGGGGAGGACTTGGGGAGTCCAGGCGAAGCTTCTGTGGCCTGGGCAGTGGGTGGGGCAGCGAGGGAGAGAAACAGGAAGGCAGAGACCCTAGAGCAGGGCTGGGGAGCAGGGAGGAGGGGAGATAGAGAAAGAGAGGGAGAGAGAGAGAGAGAGAGAGAGAGAGAGAGAGAGAGAGAGAGAGAGAGAGAGAGAGAGAGAGAGAGAGAGAGAGGTGGAGACACAAAGACCAGAGATAGAGGTCCCGAGAGAGATCATCAGAGAAAGAGAAAACGATGCAGGGAAAGACAGTGAGACAGGATCAGACAGACACACACCCACAAAATAGAAAAAGGGACACAAAGGGTCTCCCCTTTCAGGACCTCTTCACCTCAGTCCTGAACGGAAAGGTACAGATCCCAGCAGATCTAGGAAGGAGGCAGGGACAGAGAAGGGAGTCCCAGAAGGCAGGGGAGGGACAACGCAGAGCTGGTGCTAAAGTGGAGACTGAGGCAGAGAATCAGAGGACCCAGAGGAGAGACAGGAGGGGCCCCAGCAGGTCCTGACTTGTTCCCTGGACTCAGCCAGCTTTGAGGGCAGATGCTGGGGGCCCTAGGGATGGTGACAGTCTGAGTGGTTAGTGCTGGAGAGTGGTGGGGAAAAGGGGCCTGCCTAGGTCCTGCCTAAGCTGGGGGAACCTGTGGGGACACCTGGATGTCCCCCAGATCAACACATGGGAAGGGCAAGATCGGGTTGTACATGGGGGCAGGGTAGGACTAGAGGGAGTGACCCCTCCAGGGCCAGGGCTCACTGTGTATTTGGGGTTGGGGGGAGTGGGCTTCCTCCACACCCAGCAAAGAACACACAGGCAAGTGCAGTGAGGCTGTGCATGTCCACCCGAGAGTGTGTGTGTGTGTGTGTGTGTGTGTGTGAGGGGCTGGGAGCAGAGGCTTGGGGGAAGTCAGTCCCTTGGCTTCCCCATCAGTTTCTCTCCCAGACAGTCCTATTTTTCCCTCTCCAACAGTGAGCGCCTTTCTTTAATTACAAAGATTTATGCCCCAGAGTCCATGCCACTCCTTGCTTGGGGAGCTGGGCTTTCTTTCTAGGCTCAGGGCCCTGGAAGAAAAATTTGTCTCTGAGCCTCGGGTCTTCTCTCTCTTCCCTCAACTCTCCTTTCCCCACATTCTCTTTCTCCTCTCCCCCTCCCCCCCTCTTCTCTCCCCTCCCCCTCTCTCTTCACCTTGGTCTTCTCTCCTTTCCCCTCCTCATCACTCTGCCCCCTTCTCTCCCTCTTATCTCTCTCCTCTCACCTCGGTCTCCTCTCCCCTTGCTTTCTCTCTGCCCCCTAACTCCCTCCTCTGTCTTGCTCTAGAACTCAGTGACTTACTCCCCCTCTCTCATGGTCACTCTGAGTGATGCTGGACTCACTGGTCAGTGCAGCCCAGCTGGGCGGGAAGAATTCAGCACACACCCCCCCAAGGTGCAAGTTGAGGCTGGGGGCCCAGACCCCTGGCTCCCCCACCCTGAGCTGCAACTGAGGACCGCAGGGGGGACACACAGGGAGCATGGCATCTTTAATTAAAAAGTGATTTAAATTAATTTTCTGCTCCAAAACCCCTATCAGGGGGGCGGGGAGTGTGGGTGGCAGTGATTAAAGGCTCTTAGGCCCTCGTCTCCCCGTCTCCTTAAAGGGCCAGCATCACCCCAGGGCTCATGGGGAGGAGCAGTGCCCACTGGCCAGGAACCCGGGACTCAGTCAAGGGCCCCAGTTCCAGGCACCCTTTGGTTTCACGGCTTCCCCACCATCTCTCCAAACCCATCATCCCTCCAGCGTATAAGGAGGCTAAGGCTCAGAGAGGGAAGGACCTGGACCTCAGATTTCTGGAGGGGACACACAGATGTTCAGGAGGAAGTGTCAATGTGGGGAGGAGTGTCAGAGGACTAGGGTCCAGGACAGAGAGGCAGAGATCCTGGGTGAGGCAGGGAAGTGAGGACAAAGTAAGGGGGTGGGGGCTGGAAGCAGAACTGAGCTCTTGTTGATAAAGGAAGGGTCTGCCTAGGGGCTCAGGGGACCCAAGCCATCAGCTCCACCCTCCCCCACAGCCGGCAGGCACCCTCGCCCCCAGGGACCCTCTGCCCCAACCTCAGTCCCTCCTGCTGTAGCTCCAGGGCAAGGTTTTGTTTCATTTCTACCAGATGGGAGGAAGGGGGAAGGAGCAGTAAGAGGGGCAGAGGTAGTGCTGTTTACGAGGGGTTTATGAGGATTGTAAAATAAAGGGCGCACAGCCTTGAGCCTCCTCTCTCTAGGTCTGTGCCTTCCCCCATCTCTCTGTCTTCCCATTTTTCTGAGTCTCTCTCCCCCATTTTCTCTGGATCTCTGTCCCTTGCCCCAAGTTTCTGTTTCCCTCTATACCTCTTATTTCTTTTTGGGATCATCCCTCTAGAGTGATTTAAACATTTTTTTTTTTGGAGGGGGGTGGTCAATATCCCTTTGTGAGAATAGGCTAAAAACTAGGGGTTATTTCCCTGGAAGAAGCACATGAGCACCAAGCCCACATTCTGCCATGCAAGTTAGGGGGTTTACAGGTCTGACACCCATTTGCACACCTCCTAAGAAATGAGCCAGATAGCAGAGGATAAAGACCCCCTAATGGAGAAAAAGTCAACAAGACAGTGAATCCCAGGGGTCTCTCTTGTTGCTTGGCTTCTCTGCTTTGCTGTCCCCTTTGTTACTCCAAAACACCAGGCACATTCCTGCCCCAGGGCCTTTGTACCTGCTCTTTCCCCTGCCTGGAATGGTCTTCCCCTGATATCCCCTTGGCTTCATTCCTCACCTTCTTCAGGTCTCTGCTCAGATGTCACCTCTTGTGAGGGCTTGCCCTGTCCACTCACAAACACCAGTCCCTCCATTTCAGAGTGCACACCACTTGGAGGCATTATTTCACATGTGTTACACATTTATTTCTTTGATTATTCTCTCTCCCATCACATCCCAAAGTGATGAGTGGTTAGTGCTGCAGAGTTAGAGGTCCCGAGAGAGATCATCAGAGAAAGAGAAAACAATGCAGGGAAAGACAGTGAGACAGGATCAGACAGACACACACCCACAAAATAGAAAAAGGGACACAAAGGGTCTCCCCTTTCAGGACCCCTTCACCTCAGTCCTGAACGGAGAGATACAGATCCTAGCAGATCTAGGAAGGAGGCAGGGACAGAGAAGGGAGTCCCAGAAGGCAGGAGAGGGACAACGCAGAGCTGGTGCTAAAGAGGAGACTGAGGACCATAAGCCTGAGGCCCATAAGTCTGTCTGTATCCTCACCCTCCCCCCAACACACACACACACACACACACACACACACACACACACACGCTCCCAGAACACTACCCAGCACCAAGTGGCAGCTCCATACTTTCTAGTCCCCACAAACCACACATTTCAGATGCTGTGGGTCCCAGGCTCCAAGAATTCATACAAGCCAAGGATCTGCTCTCCAACCTACACAGCACCAGACAAGACAGTCCCCCTCAGTTATGGAGATTCCACAGATTCCCTGAGAACAGAGAGGGAACTTCAAGCTAAGCCCCTTCCAAAAGGCAGGAGTCCAAAATGGACAGAGGGATGCCTCTGCGCACAACCACTCCTCACCATATTCAGAGACAGAAAGAACAGTCGCTCCTGCACACACACACACACACACACACACAGGACTTCAGACACGTGTCCTTGTCTCCCAGGGGAGGAGGACATGGGGTTCAGTGGGATCCTGGGGGGCAGGGAAAGGAGAGAGGCAGGGCTCTGCGGGGCGCAGAGGAGGGAGCGAGAAGAAACACCCGCAGACAGAGGCGGAGTGACAAAGAGAAAGCCGGGGGGTGGGGGAAGTCGGGGACGTGCACAGAGAGAGGGAACCCGGGCGGGCCGAGACGGGAACAGGGAAAACCGGGGGACCCAGACCTGCGGCGGCCGCGAGCGGGGAGCCGGCGAGGACCCGGAGCGGGATGCGGGAGGAGAGAGCAAGCAGGGAGGGCGCCGGGGCGGGCGCCGAGGACCCGCCGTGAACGCGCCGCGGAAGGAGGCGGCGCGCCCGGCCCGGCCCGGCCCGGGGGGGCGGGGGGGGGGGCGGCGGGCGCCCCGCCGCCGGCGGACAGTGGGTTAAGCATCTCCGAGGTGGAACTTCCGGATGTGACCACAGAGCGGGGAGACCGGGAGGGAGCGCGGGGGAGCGGCCGGGAGGGAGCGCGGGGGAGACGGAGCGGCCGGCGTCTCCCCGGCCGCCGACGCGGGCGCGCTTCGCCGCGCGGGGAGCCCCTCGCGCCCCGGCCCGGGCCCCGCTCGCGCCGCCTCCCGCCCGCGCCCCCCGTCGCCCGGCTCGGGGACCCCCGGCGCCTCCTCGCTCCCCACCTCTCGGTCTGTTTGTCTCAGGCTGCTTCAGCTCTCCTAGGGGCCGCGGGAGGGACGGGAGGCCCCCGGGAGGGGGCCTTGGCGACCCTCCCCGCCTCCCCGCCCCTTGGCTGGCTGGCAGGAGCCCCTGGCTGTGACCCCCGCGGGGGAGGACGCTGGGGGTCCATGCGCGGAGCCCCCACGCTGCCCGGCGCCTGCCACTGACGGCGGTGGGGGTGGGGGGGCCGGGCACCCAGCCTCCTGCCCCACCCCCTGGCGTCCGCACCTCGGGCCCTCGGGGCCGGTGCCCCTGGCTGCGCCCTCCCCGCTGGCCGGGCCCTGGAAGGACCCAGGAGCTGTCGCCGGCATCAGCCCATGGCCCGGAGGGTAGGTCGCAGGGCGGGACCCGAGCTCGCCGCCCCTCCCAGAGCTCGCCTTCCCGGCTCCAGCCTCTGGCCCCTGCCGGCCCACCATCTCTTTCTCTGCTTCCTCCCTCTCTGCCCCTCGGTCTCCCTTCGCTCCATCCCTCCGCCTCTTCCTTCTCTGTCCCTACTCCTCCCTTCAGTCTGTCCCTCCGTCTCCTCCTCTATCTCGGGCTTTTATCCAACCCCCTCCCTTCTTTTCTGCGCGCCCTAGTCCTATCTGGTCTACTTTTGTTCCAAGTCCTGCAGAGGGGGGAGAGTTGGAGTGGGGACGGTGCTCAGAGACGTTCCCACCTGCTGGGGGTCAGCCTATAGTCCTCCAGCGGGGAGAGACAGGAGGGGCAGGTGGTGCGAATTCACCTTTGTGGGTAGGGCTGGCGAGCATCGCAGGAGCTGAGGAGATTGCACACAGGATGGGCGATGAACAGTTGGACTAACTTCAGGGCTCGGGAGAAGTTAGAAGAGGAAGTGAGACTCGTAGACACAGCCATCCACGCTCAGCGGGGGTGGGGGTGGGTTGTGGGAAGCGCTGGCACCCTCTCTTTCCTCTGTGAGCCTCAGATTCTTCCTCTGCAAGGAGTGGGTGTGCTCTGGATGTTTAAAGATCCCCTGGCTCCCCTGTGCCTTTGCATCTGACCCCCTATGCTGAAAGCCTGCCTGCTGCTCTCAGCTCTCTTTGGGGCTGTTTGCAGCGGGTTCTGTGTGGTTGTACAGGGGGGTTCGCGTTGGTTCAACAAGTGTTTATTGAACGTGTGCCAGGCACTGTGCTGCATGCCTCAATCATTCATTCATACATACATGTGCCAAGGGCCTCGTTCATTCATGTATGTGCTAAATGCCTCGTTTACCCACTCTCTCATTCATTCGTTCCTGTGCTGGTATTTGGCTCTGTGTGTGTGTGTGTGTGTGTGTGTGTGTGTGTGTGTGTGTGTGTGTGTAGGGTGATAGGTTGTTAAGACACATGCATATTTGACCACTGAAATGAAACTGATGTCAGGGGAGATTGTATATGAACAGTTATGTGCAAACAATGCTTGGCGTTTAAGGACATGTCAGTAAGTGAGAATCTCAATCTCAGTGTCTCTCTCTTTCCCCTTCTCTGCTTCCCTCTCTCCCTTTCATTCTTTCCCCTCTTCTCTGTCTCTCCTCTTCTTGCGCCTCTCCCTCAATCCCCTATATCTCTCTCTTTGTGTTTCTTCCCATCTCTCTCCCCATTTCTCCTCCACCTTCCCAGCTTTCTCTCTCTGAATCTCTTCTCAGTTCTCTCTTCTCTGTCCTTCTCATTCTGAGAGGAACTGGAAGTTACTGGTCAGGAAATACCTAACACCCTCCCCTCCTTTAACAGCCAGACCTAGACCATCTCTTCTGGACACCCCCTGCTTACACATCAGGAATCTAGACAGGACATTTTCACAGTCCAGGAGTACAAGAGGAGGCCTTGGGACAGGGCCTTCGCACCCCAGACTCATCATGGGACCTTAGGGGGCTGGGTGGTAGTGCTCAAGTAGCTGGGGCAAAGAGGGGGTGTCTCCTGAGTCCCAGGTGGGGGGTTTCTCAGCAGGCTGTCTGGGTGTGGCTGACACTGACAACTCTCTGGGGCTCTTCCCTTCTGGCCTCCCCCAGTATGATGAGTTGCCCCAGTACCCAGGCGTCGTGGACGGCACCACAACCTTGGCTGGCTTCTCAGAGGCAGTGTCCTCAGCCACAAGAGCCTCGGGACCCTATGGCCCCCACCGGCCAGCCCAGCCCCCACGCCCAGGCTTGGACAGTGATGGCCTGAAGAGGGAGAAGGATGAGATCTACGGGTGAGTGCTGACAATGCCAAGGCTCCATGGAGTCTCAGGATTGGGGCAGGGGGTGGGGGGAGGCTGTCTCTGGGTTTCTCTTTCTCTATCTCACTCTCTCTGTCTCTTCATGTCTCCTCTCATCTCTTCTCTCCCTCCCAGTGGTTCTCTACTTCCAAGCCCCCCTGCCCTTCCCCTCATGAACTCTCTCCTCTCTGGCTTCTCCTCCAGACACCCACTCTTCCCCCTGCTGGCCTTGGTCTTTGAGAAATGTGAACTGGCCACGTGCTCACCCCGTGATGGGGCAGGCACAGGGCTGGCCACTCCCCTGGGGGGGGATGTCTGCTCCTCCGATTCCTTCAACGAGGACATCGCTGCCTTTGCCAAGCAGGTGGGCACCCTCATACACTGCGCATTGTGCAAGGACAGCCCAGTAGGCGGGGCACTGGGACACACCGCACTGCCCTCTCTGCCTCTCTCTTCCTCCCAGGTGCGCTCGGAAAGACCCCTCTTCTCCTCCAACCCGGAGCTGGACAATCTGGTGAGATCTGGGCCCATCCCAATGCCCCTTCCTTCAGGGGCTCTCCCAGCCCTTACTCTAGAACCCTGGGCTGTTCGCAGGAACAGAGAGGAGACCCCCTGATCCAGGTTCTCAAATACAGGCACACCTCGGATATAGTGCAGGCTGGGTTCCAGACCACCAAAATAAAGTGAATACAAGCGAGTCACACAGATTTCTTGGTTTCCAACGCATGTGAAATATGTTTGCACTATACTGTAGTCTGATCAATATGCAATAGCATAGCGGCTTAAAAAAAAAGTGTGCGTACAGGGAGATGCAATTTGAGCTCATGCTGTTGGAAAAATGGAGCCATAGGCTTACATGGGCTTACTGGGCTCAGGGTTGCTGCACGCCTGCAATTTATAAAATACAACACACGATATCGGCAATGAAATTCAATAAAGCGCCGTGAGCTGTGCATGCAAGGGGCCCTTTGGCTTAGTTTTGAAGATCTGAGTTCAGATCCTGTCTCTGCCACCTGACAGCTCCGAGAACCAGGGCAAGTGGTTCCATCTGCCTGTGCCTTGATTTCCTCGTCTATAAAGTGTAGCTAGAAGTGATTTCTTTTCTGCAGGGATGTTGGGAGGGTTTAATGAGTTAATCAGAGTCAAGCACTTAGAACAGTTCCTGGCCCTAATGGGGACAGCTAGAGCTAGCTGCTCTTGCCGTCAGGACTGCAGAGCCCAGGGCCAAAGGAGTGGAGGCACTCAGCAGCCCAGCAGAGAGGAGAGAGGGAAGAAGGGGGAGAGGAGGTAGGAGTACCCTGGAGGCTTCCGCTTTTTGCTTTCCCAGCTCCCGCCAGGGCTTCCCATTGGTTGAGCCCTTTGGCAAAGGCTCCTGGGAAGTGTAGTTTGTAGAGAAGGGTGGGGTCTATTTATTCTCCACCTCCCTCACTCTTGTGGTGGGTCCTCTTCTGTCTCCTGCTTCTCTTCCATTGTCACTGACTCTCGCCTTATTTCTGGATCTTCATCTCTGTTCTCTGTTTCTCTTTGCCCTGACTCTGAGTTTCTGTTTCTCTGTGTCTGTCACTGTTTTTGTTTTTCCATCGCGCTTTTTCTGATTCTCTGTCTCTCTTCTCTCCTTTCTCCTCCTTCCCTTCTCTCTCTCCCTCCTTCTCTTCCTCTCGTTTCCTTCTCCTCCTTCCTCTTTTTCCTCTTCTCCTTTTTCTTCTCTTCCCTCTCCCTCGCCTTCTTTTTCCTCTTTCCTGTACTTCTCTTCCTTTTACTCCTCACCTCCTCCATCCTCCCCTTCTCTTCTCCCACCCTCCTCTTCTCTCTTTTCCTGTCTTCATGTTCAGATGATACAGGCCATACAAGTACTCCGGTTCCACCTGCTAGAGCTGGAGAAGGTGAGCGCTTCTCACTTCCCCTCACACCCTAATCCCTCCCCCACCTGCCCCTACACCCCCTGCAGGCTCCATCCCCACTGGTGTTGGAGCCAAATGTCACCCCTGCCCCTGTGCACCCCAGCCCTGGCCCCCGGGTGGCCCCCCCAGTACCCCGGTGCCCCCTCAGGTCCACGACCTGTGCGACAACTTCTGTCACCGCTACATCACCTGCCTCAAGGGAAAGATGCCCATCGACCTGGTCATCGAGGATCGGGATGGCAGCTGCAGGGAGGATCTCGAGGACTACCCAGCTTCTTGCCCCAGCCTCCCAGATCAGGTGCGACTGGGGCTGGGAGTCAGCTGGGCACAAGGACACTCCCTAACCACAAGCCACACCAGCTGCACAGGCCAGCATCTGGAGGAAACTTCTCTGAGCTGCAGTGTCTCAGGCTGAGCCTAGAGGACACAGATGATGCAACTACGTTGGTGCATTTGGGAAAGGACATGGGCGGCGGCGGGGAGGGGCTGTCTAGGACAATCAGCAAGGGTAAGGAGGTACCCTGGTGTTTAACAAGAGCAGGCGACTGGGCCCACCCCCAGTCTGCCTCCCAATGAGTGAACCAGGCCTACATTGAAGGAGAAAGCAGTCTTGACACTGTCTTTATAGGTGGGTCTGCTTCCTGGGAAGCAGAACTGGGGCAAAGGATGAAAGTCACACATTATCAAGTTTCTCCAAGTGTGTTGGGGTTTGAATAAAGGAAATACAGCCCTGGATTCCATGATCTGTGATTTTGAGACCTCCCGAATCTCTGAAAATGGAAGTTTCCCCCCCTCCCCCGTAAGTTTAATGCAAACTCACTTGGCAGCAAAATCTGACCTGAACTAATGAGAGGCTATTTATAGCCTTTATTTATTCCACCTCATTAAATATGCAGCCATTTTGCTGTAGAAACATTAATGGGTTTGATGATGGGAGGTCATGCCCCAGACCCTGCTGGGGGTGTTGTGGTAGACACGGCGTGTGCACTGATTGACTGCCTAAAAATATGAGAACTTCTGAATTCTGACACCGCTGGCCCCCAAGGATTCCAGATAAGGTTTCATAGATCTGTAGGAGCTCGGCTTTATGGGGCAATTGCTATGTGCCTTTACTTAAATTAACCCATTGGGTCCCTGCCACACTGTGAGGCAAAGACCGTTATTGGCCTTTATTTCCCATTTGAGGAAACTGATGCACAGAGAGGTAAAGCAACTTACTCAAGATCACACAGCCACAAAAGAGGTAGGGTCAGTCTATGTTGTACCTCAAATGTTGGCACTCACATCTAAGCCTTGTTTTCCAGAATAATGCATGGATTAGAGACCACGAAGACAGCGGGACCCCAGGTCCCTCCAGTGGGGGCCTGGCCTCCCAGAGCGGGGACAACTCCAGTGACCAAGGTGAGAATGTGGGAGGTGAGGGATGAAAATGTGTTAGTGTGAGGATTGAGGTTAGACAGTAAGTAGGACTTCCAGGGTGGCAAGGATGACTGGGGTGTGTGGAAAGGTGTCTAGGTGAGGGTTCTGGATCCCTCTGATCCCCCACCCTCACTGTCCACAAATACTGCATGTCTCTTCTCCCTCAGGAGACACAAGTGTGGCCTCACCAAGTTCTGGTGGAGAGGATGAGGAGCTGGACCAGGAACGGCGGCGGAACAAGAAGAGGGGGATCTTTCCCAAGGTGGCCACCAACATCATGAGAGCCTGGCTGTTCCAGCACCTCTCGGTGAGACCCCCGTGGCCCTGGGTGCTAGGTGGGAGCAGAAAGAAATGGAGGAGGGTGGCTGCACAGACTGTGGCCCTGAGAGAGACCCAGAGATGGGAAATGAGATGGGGAGGATACTGAGGGAGAATTTCAGGTAGATAAGGGCCTCTTAGAGCAGACACCCATGAGAACTCCCTGTGCACCAGGTGCTATGAAGACCCCCTCACTCATTTGGTCCTTCCCCCTGCCCACATGTCCATCGTCATTTGTTCACCCACCCATCAAGCATTCACCTTCACCCAACCACAGCCTGTGTGGGGGGAAGAGTCTGGTTACCATCCCCAATGAGGAGACTGAGGTCTGGAGGTCTCACAGGCATAAGTGGGTCCAAACATGGACGGGCTGGCCTTAACCCCCGTGCCACAATGCCTCAAGGAGAGAGACTGAAGCACAGAGGCTGGGAGAGGCTGAAACAAAGATGGAGTCAATGATATGTGGGAGGAGTGAGCAAGAGTGAGAGAAAGGAAGAGACTGGTTCACAGAGGGACACAGAGATACAGAGAGAGGGAGGGAAGGAGGGATGGAAACAGAGAGGGAGAGCCACAGAGAAAGAAATTAGGACATGGAGAGACACATACAGAGAACCTGACAGAGACTCAGAGAGGCTGGAGCTGGGTTTTGCCTCTTATGGGGTGATGGAGCCTCCTCCCTACAGAGTCCCTACGGCGAACTGGCCAATTAGCCTCTAATTGCTGAAAGAGGCAGGTGTAATTGCCCAAAACCTGGCTCTGTTTCACCTCCATTGGGCCCCTGGGAACACGGAAAAACCCGTGCATGCTGGTTCGCCAGCCCCCTGCCCCAGCCTGGGCCCACCATCCCCGGGACCAGGGCAGGCCAGGCCCTGGGGCAGCTGGACAGGCAGGGTGACTCTTGCTGGTGGCCACAGCACCCGTACCCCTCGGAGGAGCAGAAGAAACAGTTGGCGCAAGACACAGGGCTCACCATCCTACAAGTAAACAACTGGTGAGTGACCCAGGAGGTCTGGCAGTTCTTTGCCAGGCCCGGTGTGAGTCGGGCGCTGTCCGCGGTGCTGAAGGAGGCGCGGCAACCCCTTCAAGCTTCTCTCCTTGTGCTTTTTGCTTCCCTATCCTCCGTCTTCTCTTACCAACTCTGTGTGCTGTCTCTGCCTCTCTCCCACTCCCTCTTCACACACCTCTTCTGTTTTCATGTCCCAGGTTTATTAACGCCCGGAGACGCATTGTGCAACCAATGATTGACCAATCCAACCGCACAGGTACAGGGAGAAGGTGGGGCAGGGGGATCTGGTGTTCCTGGGGGAGTGTCAAAGTCAGGACTCTGGCATTCTGGGACTCAGCTTGTGCCCCTCAACCCTCCTCACAGGGCAAGGTACCACCTTCAGCCCAGAGGGTCAGCCCATGGGGGGCTACACAGAAACTCAAACACACATGGCTGTCAGGCCTCCAGGTAAGATCCTGCCCCCTTACTAAGCCACTCCCTCAGCAACCAGGCCCTTCCTCCAAACAAAGAGACCCACCTTCTGGGGTTGTGTTCAGGAATAATACAGTGCCTCACTTGCAAAACGGGTATCATACCAGTATCAACCTTCTCTTCACCAAGTTTACCTATTGGTAGGCTCTGCTTTTCCATTACCCTCTTAAAAGATGACAGTCTGTCCTGATAGAGGGATCTGGTGGTGAAGGAAGGGGTGAAAGAGATTTAGAGGCAAACGGAGGTGTCTGGTGAAGATCCACTAACACTCTTATTCTACTTTCCAGGATCAATGGGAATGAGTTTGAACTTGGAAGGAGAGTGGCATTATCTATAGAATCTGGATTCAGGAGAAGTATGAATATTCAAGGTCTAGGGGAAACTGGGTTGGGGGGTTATGAAACTCTCAAACCTTTATAAGACTCCAGAATCCAGTAGTGGGTCTACCCAGAACAGGGTCAGCCTGGTTTTCCAAGTCTTGGTGGGAAGATTATTAATCCATCCATCCAACAATGCACTCAACCATCCATATATTTATCTACCCATCAGTCATCCATTTATCCATCATTCACCCAACTCTATACTCATCCACCCACCAACCTTATCTACCCACTCATCCATCCACCTCCACATGGATCCACTCACCTACTTATTATCCATGCATTCACCTACCTCCCTACCTACCCATGCATCCATCCCTCTAACCATAATCCATCAACTAACCATCCATTATCCATCAGAAAATACATTAACCCACCATACCACCCATCTTTACACTGATCAACCCACTCATTCATTTGCCCATCCATCAATCCCATTTACCCACTCTTTCACACATCTAACTACCCACTAGTTTATCCACCATCCATCCATCAATTCATCTATTTAGCAATCATTCACCTACCCACCACTAGTCATCTAAACACATCTATCCACCCATACACACATTTCCACATTCACCCAACCTTCCACCCACTGTCTGCATATCCATATAGTCACCCACCTGCTTCCCACCAATTCACCCACCCATGCATCCATCTCCATATATATGTGTATATATATATGAGCTTTATATATATATATAAAACATGGGATATGTTCAGGAAAGACTTCTCTCTCTCTCTTGCTCCCTCCTCCCATCCTGTCTCTCTCCCAAACTCCTCTCTCTTTGCCTCTCTCACTATGGAACTTGGTGGTGGGGGGCTGCACAGAAGGGCTGACATGGGGCCAGAACCCTCTCCACCTCCTGACTTGGCCTCTTCCCCACTTTCCACAGAGCTCTAGGCTGTGACCACCAGCTCCCACTTGGTTCCAGTTCCTGCCTGACCCTCTGGCCTCAGGACCCCACCTCCTAAGGCCCCTCCCCACTTAATGCCTACCTCCCTGGGGCCCTGCCAGGACATGGGGGGGCCTGTGTACCCCCTGGAGGGTCTCTCAAGGACAAAGACAAGGCCTCCACTTCTGCCCCACTTCTGCCCTCACCTCTGCCTGGAACCCTAGCTGAATTTCTAGGCTTGGGTCTTCAGAAGCTGGTGACTGGGTCCTGTCCCCACCTCCAGGATAGAGAAGGGATTGGGGGTGAGCTGGGGCTGTCAGGGAAGGAAGGTCACCCGGATCCGATGTTTGGAAGAGGTTCCTTTCATCCTACTCACCTCCTCTCTCCCCCTACCTTCCTTCTCTGATGTCTTCTACCTTTTTTTTAATGATAAAATCTTAAAAACAAGAAGCCACCAATTTGAGTTCTTGTGTCTCTGCCAAGATTCAAGTTTTCATCAAGTTGAAGCTCATAAATCACTAATTATAACAATAATTGATACAGAGACAAGGGGCCTGCTGCCCAGTGCACATAAAACCAACATTATGAAACCAGCATTTTGAAAGAAGAGTTTATTTGTGAGACTGGTGAGAAGACAGGAGCCCAAAACTCAACTCTCTCTTCCTTCCCAGGAAAGATAAGCGGTTTATTTAATTGGTTTTGGGGAAACAATTTTATTGGCCAAGAAGTGTGTAAAAGGCAAAGGGAGGTGGACTTGGCTGAAGTCCAGTGGATCAGTACAAATTGGCCCATATGGAGAGAAGTCCCTCAAAGGAACCCCTCATTTCTGAATGTGGTGCAGTGGTCCCTGATTCTGTTTTCTGGGTTCCTTGTCAGGCATCTCTTGGTTCTGCAAGTCTAGCTGGTGGTCCAGTACTCTGTGCTTTGTCAATGGCAGAGGTTGTTACTCGAAATGACAGCAACTGCGGCTGAGCTGATGGGCTGAATACTGATCAGACTTCAGATTCCTCCCAAGAAAGACTGATGAGATTTAATTATATTTAAAAAATTAAAACTGGGTTGAGGGCTGGCACCTCACTGACTCCTTAACCCTACCAGCTCTTATCATTAGCAGCATTTGCTGTAAGCTGGGGTCCATACCAACACTTCACCTACCTGCAATATTTCCTATCCCACAGCCTTAAAAAAAGTTTTATTTTTGAGAACAGAAGTACCCAGTATTTGCCAACTCAGACCTTGCTAAGCGAGCAGAGACTGCAGTGCAAAGGAAGCTGAGAGATAAAACTTCTTGGTTCTCCCCACACGCACACCTGGGGTGACTGGAAATGCCTCTCTAATTAAACCAATTGGAAGTGCCCTGGGCGGAGGGAAACTGGGCTGGAGGTTAATTGTAACTAAAAATACCTCCCTCACTTCCGGGGTCGAGTAACCCACCGACTGGACCTCCGAGTGCCCGGTCGCCTGCGCGGTGAGTGAGCATCCCTGAGTGGCAAGGGCTGGGGGTGGCCCGCTTGGGGTCCTGGGATCAGAGCCTGGGGTCCTGTGTGTGTGGGAGGGGAAGTGCGTGATTGTGGGGCTCGCCGTCCGTGCAGTGGGCGCCCCCACGAGTGTTCGCAGCTGTACTGCCACCGAATGGGGCGAGGGTCGCTGAGGGATGGCTGGGCGTGGGGCTGGGCCACCGGGGAAGTGGTGTCTCTGTGCGGTGCGCGTGCGTCCGTCATACCAGGCTCTGGGCCTCACGACGTGTCTGAGGGAATACGTGGCAAAGTGGGTCTTTATTCTACCTGGGCGTGCCCACGAGTGTCTCTGTGCGTGGCTCTGTGGTGGTGGTGAATTTGGTGTCCCCGGATAAGCCCGAGTTGCTCGTCGCAGGATGCGGGCAGGCCATGAGCCTGGGCTCCCTCCAGGGGCCGCTGCGGAGCTTCGCCGAGTTTGTTTCCGTGACCGCTTCCTGGAGGCAGTATTGTCGTAAAGTCCGTGGGTTGAAAGCATGTCCTTCAGTGGTTTTCCCGCATCCATCCCCGTCATCAAATTTCATCACCCCAAAATGAAGCCGTCTACCCATCAGCAGCCCTTTTCTTTCCTCCCCACGCCCTCACCCAGGGCAAATTCCCATTCTCCTTCCGATGTATGGATTGGACTGTTCTGGGTTCTTTTTGCACGTGGACTCATGGCCTCTCCTAGCTGGCTTCTTTCTCACGACCTACTCTTTTGGGCCTCACCATGTTGAGGCAGGTACCAGTGCTTCAGCCCCACCCATAGTCATGGAAGAATTTTGAGCAGAGAAAGGACGGTGTTGCTTGTGTGCTCCTGCTCAGCTTTACAGGGACAGGGTGGATCCCAGGAGGCAGGTTATGGGTTCAATTGTGTCCTGATTCCAGAACCCGTGCGAGGAGAGCTGACACCTGGGTCCTTGCACTGCCCCAAAGAACCATAATCCCCACTTTATAGATGAGGAAGCTGAGGAGCAGAGAAAGGGAGGGACTTGCCCCAGAGCTTACAGCTGTGACATGTGCTTTTCAGCTTCAGTCCTCTGTCATGTCCACTCTCCCTCCGGAAGAGTCCTTCCTGTTGCACCCACTCCCAGTCACACAGTGACTAGACCCCTCAAAACAGGTGTCCTTTAACTACTTGACACCTGAGTAGAGACCAAATCAAATGAGTGGTCCAAGCACATAGATACTGGGAGAAGAGCATTCCCAGCAGGGGAAATAGCATATGCCAAGGTCTTGTGGTGGGAACCTACTGGGCATGTGCAAGGAGCAGACAGGAGCCTAGTAGGCTGTAGTCCAGTGAGCCAGGGAAGCGTGTGGGTGACCAGGTCCCTGAGCAACCTGGGAACACCCATTGGGAGTGAGGAGCCTCTGGTGATCTTGACCCGAGGATTGGCAGGGGATTGGGGATTGGTAGGTTACAATTGGGTTTTGACAGGCAGGGTCCTTGGGGCTTCTGCATGGAAATTAGACCTCAGGCGGCATGAAGCAGAAGCAGGGAGCCCAGTTCTGGGCACTGATCCATCCATGCATGGGTGGGTAGGGTGGGGCCTGCAGACAAGGTCCAGGGGGCAGGTGCTGGATGGAGCTTGAAGGAAAGACTCATAAGACTGGCTAAGGCAGCGTGTAGGTGTGAGTGAGGATTTGGGCCTGACTCTGTGGGTGGAGGGGCACGTCACTGAGCTGGGGCAAAGAGGCCTTTGTTTGAAGTCAGGGGACATAACTCCAGCAGTAAAGTTCAGAGCCCAGGCAGGACAGTCAGGGGGCAGGAGATCTAGGTGGGGATGCTGCTTGGCCAGGCAGAAGGCATCTCAGGGAGAGGGAGGCGTGGTGGGGACTTGGGACCTGCCCACGGACCCCGTGGCAGAAATGTCCCTGGTCACTTTTCCGGGAGCAGGTCCTGACACCACCACCCTGGCCCATGGGATGGGGCAATGCAGGGGCCCCTAGTTCAAAGGGGAGAAGAGGCCCTTCCTTTTTGGCCTTCACCCCAACATCTGCCCACACTGCAGGTTGCAGCGGGAGGGCTGAAAGCCGGGCCATGGGGAAAACAGGCAGAGGCAGCTGCTACCTGCTGACTGGGTGGAGCACGTTCAAGTGAGGAAGTAAGACTTTATTCACATATCCACATGCCCTCCCCACAGGGCTGAGGCCACACCACATGTCACAGTTCTGGCTAGGGAGTGGGGTGGGGTCCTAGTCCCTCATGGAACACAGGCCTTTAGCAGACACCTGCCCCAACCTCACATGTGCTGCCTCCGGTGCCGCAGCACCTCTGTGGGTGTGAACAGAAAGTCCTTCTGGCAGGCCTCGCAGTGGTAGGGCCTCTGCAGGGCAGATGTCTTCTGGATGGGCTCAGGGGTTGCTTCCTTGGCCCCTAAGGGAGAGGAGAAGGGAGGATGTGAGGGAGGCTCGCCACTGCATGCTCTTTCTCACCACACTCCCAAATCCCAGGTACTGGAGGGCTTCGGATCCTCTTCTGGCCCTTGGGGAAATTCTGGCTCTGCCTCTTCTAGGAAGCCTTTCTTGATTAACATACACACAGTCTTCATTCTATGTCCCGGAGGGGTGAGAGAGACAGAAAGACAGGCACAAGGAGAGACACAAGACTGAAGAGACAGAGCCCTGGGGTAGGGAGTGCGTGGCCTCACTGCCATCCCCCCCCACCCCGTCCCCACATGCGTGGTGTATGGAGCAAAGCAGCAGGCACTGTGTCAAGGTCTGCACACTGTGGCTTCCCCTGGGTGAACATGTGGACAAGGGCAGACGTGGACAAGGCAGAGACAGCTGTGGGTGAGAGAGAAGAAGAAGGAACACAACCGGAGTAAGGGAAACACAGAGGCAGGACTCCATGAGGGTCGACGACATGAAGAGACCAGAGACAAAAAGAAGCTGGCGCTCCAGCATGCCTGTCCCAGGCTCTGGTCTCTGTGACAAAACCCATATGTGTCTCTAGCTAGGGCCAGAGGGTTGAGGTTGTCCATCCCTGCATGTTGAGCAAATAAATGTGCAGACGCACAGGAAAGAAGAGGTGCTCTGACCCCAGAGCTGCGTCCCTACCTGAGAGGCCATCCGGCGGGGCCTTGGGACAGGTGTTCTCATGGGCGATGCGCTCCAGGGGTGTCAGGGGCATGTGCAGGTCACAGTGGGGGCAGGTCCAGAAGGTCCGGAGACAGTCGCTGTACAGGTCTGTGTCGCTCTGTGACAGGCAGGCTGTGTCAGGGCTTGGTTACCCTGCCAGTCCCCCACTGCCAGCCTGGGACACTCTGCAGAGCCCCTCAAGGCTGGCAGACCCATTCAGAAACAGCATCCCTGGGCTAAGTTGGAATGCGGTTGATGGGAGGGGAAGGAACTCTCTAAAATCTCATTTTAGAGGTGGGATGGTGAGGGGCCAAGGTGGGGTCCATGCTTACCGTGAGGCAGTTGTAGGTGAGGAAATCAGTGACTGCATAGCCTCCTTTGGTGGGGTGGGGGGACAGGGAAGAGCTGCCAAAGAGGCCAGGCAGGCTGGGGGCAGTTGTGATGGTCTGGGGTCCTACATAGAGGTTTTGGGCTTCCAGTCCTGTGAGCCGCCGGAGGCTGTAAGAAACCTGAGAAAGAGAGAGAGAGGAATAGACTCAGGAGGACACTGTCAAGAGTACCTGGATCCAGCTGTGCCTGAAGCCCATTCCTAGACTTTCCGTTATAGGAGCCAACAGCTAAGCCAATCACGTTTTCAGACTCCATGACCAGGCTTGCCAACAACAGGCCCTGAGGCCCTATCCCCTATCTCCATAGCCTCCCCAGACCACTCCCTCCTCCCTGACCTACGCAGGTCTACATCTAAATCTTGAGTCTAGCCACCTTGCCCCTCCTCCCCTAGCACATCAGCCTTTCCTTGGCTCACTTGAGAGGTGGGTTTGGTTTCAAATCTGCTCTTCCCATCCGCCCTCCGTGAACAGGTACCTTAACTGCTTTCCTCTCATACCCTATAAACTGTTAACTGCAATGAGGGGTAACCTGCACCATGCAGGTAGTAGGGGCTTATTAAACTTAACTGCACGATGAGGGAGGCATGGCAGGCATGAAAAGCATGGCCTCCGAAGTTAGGTTCCTGGGGCCAAATCTTAGCTCTACTCCTCGTCTACTGTGTGACCTTAGGATTGTCAT